GGGGGAAAAGGCAGGTCAGGAAGACTGTCTTTAAAATGTTAGAATTGAAAAACTGGTCCTGAAATTCAGTCTTTGCTCACCATAAGAAACAGAGGGAAAAGTGACTGTAATACTTAGCATTAGGAATCTACGTTATTTATCCTCAATGATGTTATCTGCACATCTCTTAGAGTAGAGGTTGGCAAACTTTTCTATACCTGACCAGGTAATAAATATTTTAGGCTTTGCAGGCCATAGACTGTCTGTGAGAACTATTCAGCTCTGCCATTGTGGTGCAAAATCAGCTATAGATGATACTTTTTTTTTTAAGGGGGGTATGGCTGTGTTCCCTAACAAAACTTTATTTACAAAAACAAATGGCAGGCTGTATTTGGCCCACAGCATGGCCGAGGCCTGGTCTAAAGCATGTCTAATTGTAGTAAGTTACACATTCTGTTACATCTCTAAGAGAAAGGTCATGTTAGCTGTGTATTTCTCTTTTTAAGGCATTAAATAAATTATCTTTTATGTACCTAAACTTTGGGCTCAAATTCATTGCACAGCACACCATATAATTTTTCAACTATGTTATATTAGCTGTGAAGATAGGAGAAGAGAATTTGTAAACCATAAAATTTTCTTGAATGTGTTAAACTGACTCGATGTACCACTTTTTTTATGGCTTCCAATGACATTCTAATTTTATGGAATCTTATTTTTTACCATTTTGCATCTTTGAGTCTCACCACTTTTGTTTTTTTCAGTTTTTAAAAATTGTGGTAAAATATATATAACAAAATGAACCATTTTAACCTTGTTTTTTTAAGATTTTTTAAAATTGATTTTTGGAGAGAGAGGAAGGAAGAGGGAGAGAGAGAAACATCGATATGAAAGGAAGACAGCTATTGACTGCCTTCTGCATGCCCCCTACTGGGGACAGAGTCTACAACCCAGGCCGGGAATTGAACCGGCAACCTTTGGTGCACAGGATGGTACCCAGGCAACGGAGCCACACCGGCCAGAGCACCATTTTAACCATTTTAAGTGTACAGTTCAGTGGCATTAAGTACATTCACATTGCTGTTCCCATCACCCCTAACAGACTCAGTAAACACTAATTCCCCTCTCTCCCTTTCCCCAACTCCTGGCAACCACTATTCTTTCTATCTCTGTGACGTTGACTATTCTCGGTACTTCATGTGTAAGTGGATCAGACAGTGTCTGTATTGTGTCTGGCTTTTTTCACTTAGCATAATGTCTTCATGGTTCATCCATGTTTTAGCACATCCATGTGTGAGCATGTGTCAGAATTTCCTTCCTTTTTTTTTTTTTTTTTAAATCCTCACCCGAGGATATTTTTTCCATTGCTTTTCAGGGAGACTGGAAGGGAGAGAGAGAGAGATGGGCTGGTTGCCTCCCATCCTGTATGCTCCCCGACCAGTTCCGGGGATCAAGCCTGCAACCCTTGGCTGGAATCCAACCGGAGACCCTTCAGTGCCCAGGCCAATGCTCTAACCACTGAGCCAAACCAGCCAGGCAGAATTTCCTCCTTTTTTAAGGCTTCATAATATCCCATTGTGTATATATACCACATTTTGTTTATTCATTCGGCAATGGACATTTGGTTTTTTTCCACCTTTTGGCTGCTATGAATAATACTGTTATGGTCATTGGTGTACGAGTCCCAGTTTTCAATTCTTTTGGGTATATACCCAGTGGTGGAATTGGTAGGTCATATGTTTAAGTTTTTGAGGAACCACCACATTGTTTTCTAAAGCAGCTGCACCATTTTACATTCCCACCAGCAATGCGCCAGTATTCCAATTTTTCCACATTCTTGCCAGCACATTTTTATTTTGTTTTAAGTAATTGCCATGCTAATGGGTGTGAAGTGGTATCTCACTGTGGCTCCACTTGTTTTTATGCTAATGTTTGTAGTTAATGTAATGGACAGTTTAGATACTACATTAGTGAACATCTGGTGCAAATTAGATTGATATATGCCTCTGTGTGTGTGTGTGTATGTGTGTGTGTGCATCTATTCCTCTCCTAGCTCCAAAATTATGTGAGATGGCTTCTAAGCACATGTAAACAATAAGATGAATAATATAAATAGCTCTAATCCTGGCATTGGGAATATAGACTAAAAAATAAAACTAGAGCCAAAATTAGATGAGCTTGAGAGTGTGTTGTAATGTTCTATACAATTACTAAAACTGAAGTGACAGATTCAGTCCTGAACTTCCTAATGGCCAAAGACAAAAGGGAAAGGAGGCCAGTAATGTTTCCAGATGGTGAAAGTTTCGGGGGAGGGGAGGCTTTTCTTGACTTATAGATACAAGAAATAAGCCATAACTATTTTAAATGAGATGATTATGTTACTGATACCAGCAGATTTCAGACCGAAAGCAAACAATTTTTGGTGAATATAATGGGGTTGGAATTGAAAATGACTCCCATAGCCTGACCATTGTAAGACTTTTTTGTGTGTAAAATGGTAGTTTCAAAGTACAGTTAGGAAAGCAAAAAGTCAACTTCACACAGCTCAGCAGAGTGATAAGCTTCATCTATTCCTTTGGACTTCAGTTGATGTTTTAGTAGCACCACATATAAGATCTTGAATTGCCTCATACATGTTTATAATATGTACTTAACATTTACTTCCCCAGGGCAAAGACTATAAACACATACGTGCTTATACATAGTCTACTTATCTTCCATTTGGAAGGAGGAAAAGATCTTCATATTCAAATCTGATAATTGAAATTTTTGTTTCAACTTGAAACTATAAGAACTAATGTTTCATTTTCAAATGAATACAAAAAAATCTTCATGGTAACTAGTTGTCAGATGAACTTTCAAGCACTTGAAGAACAAAGAAAATAAAAAAGAAAGACTAGAAGCCATATCATATAGATGTTTTTAAAGAACTGGGAAAGTGTCGAAATTACTCTAAGAGAATTGGTCTAAAGTTTTACCCAGAAGTCTGGATGAGAAATAATGACATTTTCTGAGCATTTACAATGTTCTGAGTACAGTTCAAAGTGCTTTGTATATATTGTTACTCTTCTAAACTTAATACCATCATCAGCATTCCCGTTTTATAGATGAAGAAACTGAGGCATGGAGCAGCTAAGTATCCTTGCCCCAGGTCATACAGTTAGGAAGTGTTAGAGGTAGGATTCGGGTACAACCATGCAGTCTGGCTCCAGAGGTCACACTTTCCCACTAAACAATACTGCGTCTAGATGTTACAGCAAATAAACCAGGGAAGTATTGCTTTAGCCAACTGGCAAATAAACACCTCAGATTTCTGTTGTGTCATTATAATTTGTTTTGTTTTTTTCTTTAGATGAATTTAATTATTCTTCACATTTCCTTTAATACTCTTGTATACAATTCCTCCTAGTGGTAAATTAAAAAAAAAAAAAAAAGATTCTAGTTAAATGATGAAACCTTAGCAAGCCATTAATTTTTCTGTTTTTTACCAAAAGTTTTAAGACGATGGAGTAGTGATTACAAAATGAAGTAAAGCAGCAGGATATTAATTTGTTAAAAGCCAAGCTCCACCCACCCACAAAAACCTATTTTAAAAAAAGATGAGAAGGTTTAATTTTGGCTATCACTGGGAAGCAGAATTAGGAATGATTTCTTATTTACTTTTCTTGTTTATAAAATTTGCTTGAATACTTTATAATCCAAAAATGAAATAACTTCATCTTTCAAAAGGCCAATCAGAACTTTTCATTACAAAAGCACAATATGCAGCTCCTGGTGGTAATCTTACTGTTAATTTAAAATCATTTCCACTGAAAAAATAAAAATAAAAATAAAATCATTTCCACAGACCCTTGTGCTGTATGAGTGAAGGTGGCCCAGATTTGGACCCGTATTGGCATATGTGATAATAAATGAATTAATCCTATTTAATTCCACATTAGTTAAAATTAAATAAAATTATAAACTCAGTTTATCAGGTGTGCTAGTCCCATTGTAAGTGCTCCGTAGCCACACTTGGCTAGTGACAGTTTTTCTATCATCACAGAAATTTCTCTTGCAGCACTGGTTTAGAAGAACCCAGAATCTCGGGCCAGGCAACTTGGAATCAAGTCCTGGTACTAGCTGACAGTTGCTCTGTGAAATGGGCAATTTACTCAACCTCTCTGAACTTACTTCCCACAGACAAATTGGGACTAAATGATAATATCACTTACCATGTAAGGTGATTAAGATCAAATAAGATAATGCGTGTGGCACTTCTCTGAAAACTATAGTGTGGTTTACCAGGTAGCTGGCGCTTCACAGGTCTGGTTTGAACTTAATCTCTTTGTGGACTAACTCTGAATCTAAGAATTCTGCTTGAATGGCACCTTTAAAATCACAGTTCGCAGCTCTTTACCACAGCTCCTAGGCCAAGTCCTCGGCAATGTGGAAGTTTCTTTTCTTCCCTATAGAAAGCTTCCGCACAGAACTCTATCATCTATCTTGTGTAACACCTCAAAGTTTTTCTTAACAATGTAAATACACTGCTCCATTTCCATTCCTAAACGGGAAAAGACTGTCTTAAAAAAGAAAGCAAAGAAAGAGGCTTTGCTTGCCAAAGAAGCAAAGGGGGGCAAAATGCTATAACCGAAAGGAAATCAATCTGACTTGACGGTGCAGGAATGAAGCAAAAGATGTTGCCATTTGCTGCGAGCACGTAAGATTTTCACCGACAGCGGCAGCCGTTCTCTGCGCTTCAAAGCTGATTAAGCGGAAGTACTTGCTCATTCACGTCTGAATTTTTTTTCCGAGCCACTTCTGGTTTTTGTGTGAAATCCCACTTGACTGATTTAGCCTGTTTTAGAGCGGCTGTGTTTCCAGAGCAGTCTTCGCCTTATTTCTCGTTTCACCCACCTGATGGTTAAGCATGAGTCTGGTATATCTTGAAAAGGAAAGGGGTGGAGGGGAGGGCCTGGGGGGGTCCAGGGCCGACTCCCCTGAGCGCGGAGCCCACACTCACCCTCCCTCTGCCCCCCCAGGTTCCCACCAGCCGTGGATGCCGGTGACATTATGACTGCAGAAG